ATGGTGAGGTGGATTGAGAATTGTCTGACTGGCAGAGCTTGGAAAGTTGTGATCAGTAGCATAGAATCTAGTTGGAGGCCTGTAACTAGTGGTGCTTCCCAGCAGCTGGTGCTGGATCTGGCCTTGTTCAACATCTTCATGAATGACCTTGTTGATGGGATAGAGCCCATTTGCAGCAAGTTTGCTGATGACACAAAGCTGGCTGACATAGAAGGCTGTGCTGCCATTCAACGGGACCTGGACAGACTGGAGAACTGGGCAGAGAGAAACCTGATGAGATTTAATAAGAACAAATGAAGAGTCTTGCACCTGGGAAGAAATAACTATATGCCTTGGTGCAGGTTAGGGACTGACCTGCTGGAGAGGAGCTCTGCAGAGAAGAACCTGAGTGTCCTGGTGGGCAACAGACTGGCCATGAGCCAGCAGTGTGCCCTTGTGACCAAGAAGGCCAATGATATCCTGGGGTGCATTAAAAAGAGCGTGGCCTGCATGTTGAGGGAGGTGATCCTCCCCCTCTACTCTGCCCTGGTGAGGCCACATCTGGAGTACTGCATCCAGTTCTGGAATCTTCAGTTCAAAAAAGACAGAGATCTCCTAGAAAGAGTCCAGTGGAGGGCCACAAAGATGGTGGGGGTCTTGGAGCACCTCCTGTATGAGGAAAGCTTGAGAGGCCTGGGACTGTTCAGCCTGGAGAAGATGAGATTGAGAAGGGATCTGATCAATGATTGTAAACATCTAAAGTGGAGGAAGCAATTGGACGAGCCAGACCCTTTTTGGCGGTATGTAGTGATAGGACAAGGAGCAACGGCCAACAACTGGAATATAGGAAGTTCCATACAAATATGCGGAAGAACTTCTTGGCTGTGAGGGTGACAGAACACAAGAACAGGTTGCCCAGAGAGGTTGTGGAGTGTCCTTTGAAGAAACACTGTCTGGAAACCTACCTGCGTGACCTATTGTGGTACCTACTTTAACAAGGGGATTGGATGATCTTTTCAGGTCCCTTCCAAGCCCTTCAATTCTGTGATTCTGTGAGGTGGAAGACTACGAAGTTTATTAAACTGAGATAATTAATTGCATCATAGTGCAGCTTTTCATGTTTAAACCATATATACAAACAAAATGATGCCAAAATGCTGAGCAAGCTTCTGGAGCAGGAACACTTTAAAGGCTGGGAAAGGAGACCTTCCCGTCTTCCTCTGCTGTGACAACCCCCTGGGGGTTTCTAGCGTACAGAAAGCAACAGTGCTAGCATACAGATGATGATGAAAAATACCATGCCCCACAGCAGCATGACACTGGAAAATATTTCTGATGCTGAGCTTCCTCAGCCACCAGTCCTGTGCAGAGCATGAAGGTCAGAATACCCCATGCTCTGCACAGTGCACACCCTGTGTTTAGCTGCTGCCAAGGTTCTTACTTGTGACTGCAGGGGGAAGCAAATGAGTGTCCTTGGCGGTTAGTTGTCTTCTGTTATGATAAAGTTCCTAATCATGTGCTAGGCATATCATCAGGCTTCTCCTTCCTCACTTTTTTTTTTTTTTTTTTTTTTTTTTTTTCTGTAGCTTTCTATTCTATGTTCTTTTTAACATCATTTCAGTGCATATCTCACTTCAGGAAATCTTTAGCACAGCATTAAATCTACCATTTGAATTTCTGCCTTGATACCTCAGATGAACATTTTAATACGATATTAAATATCTTAAATTTAATATCTATTACATTTAACGAGATAAATGATTTATATAATAGTAGCAGTTTCAGGTTTTTTTTTTTTTAGTATTTCTTTCTAATAGAAGCCAAACATCTGCACTGGGACAGTTTTCTATCATAGCCACTTACCTGAAAACATTTTTGATACTTTCTGTGTAAGCTCAAGTTGAGTGAACAAGGCCAGTGCTTAAAACTAACTGATGAGATTGTTTTCATAAGCATTGAAAACATTACAGTTTAAGTAAGCCACTGGCAACTATTTTAAAACATAATACCTAAAACTCACGAAGTATAAGAAAGAAATTAAACTATCATGTCAGAAATGATAATTGCTGATGAAGGATACGATGCTCATCAGCAATTTACTCAGTGATTTGAAAGCACTGTTTAAAAATATTCAGTCACAGCATTAGAAGATCATCTACTCCATAAAAGAAAGCAAATAACCAACGATATTTCCAGCTATAGCTAATTCAATTCTAACTGCACTTTTAGAACGTTTTCTTGACTTGCATTGAAAGTTCTAGTTTGGGTCCCTTCTGGAAGGCAACATGTGTCTGAATGTTAGGGAGAAATGTTAGATAACCTTCGAACAGTGAGAATACAGGGAAAAAACCCTCTTCTGATAGAAGTAGATATATATATGTACACTTATAGAATCACAGAACACCCTGTGTTGGAAGAGACTCTAAAGATCACCGAGGCTGTTTTGTGTCCTCAGGGCCACCCAAAAATCAGACCAGATGACTGATAGAGTTGTCCAGACACTGTGAACTTGGCATCTCAGTGCCACTGCCACTGCCCTCAGGCAGTGCCTGACCAGACTCTGGTGAAGGGCCTTTTCCTGACATCCAGCCTGAATCTAGAAATCTAGACATATGTATGTATACATACAGACCTTGCAGATTAGGTAAAGTGCCAGGAGGAAGAAGCATTCTGGTGCACGCTGTCTTCATAGTTATCCTTTGAAAAGTCATTTTTTTCAACACAATACAAACTTTGCTTTGTATAATCTAGCCATACGCTAATCATAAGGGGTTGAAGTGCATAGTTACACAGCTAACGGTATTGCTTACCTTCAGCTGTTACAAACTCAGCAAGGTGCAGAGCAGACTTTTGTAGATGACAGCAGGTGGGCCAGACTGGTTACAAATGTAAGAGTAAGCCTTCACATTCATATCAGTGAGATCACAAACAGTTCCAAAGAAATGGGGGAAAAAACCCTTCCAGCAATGATTTTAATGTTCACATTTGCAGCCTGGGGAGCTTTCTCTTTGAGCTTCTTGCGGTCAATATTGATACTATAGGAATTATTATTGTTAGATTTGAGTAATATTTTCCGAGAAAATGGTTAACAATGCAAAAATAGTGGTATTTTTTTTCCCCCAAACCAGTGCCAATTTTATTCAGTTCTGTTTGGAACCAAGGCTGGGGGTAGAATGAGGAGACCAGGTAAAAAACCTTTGGGTAGGTTCTGCCAACCCCTGACCTGGTGACCGACTGGCTACAGTTCTTCCTCAAGAAATGGGGAAGCTACTTTTAGCTTCTGGGTTTTAAACTGAATATCCTGTGCCTCAGGAGCACACTCAGCCATCCATGTTACAAGACAGAGCATGGGAAAAGCTCTTAAACCTTCTGCTGATGGCACTTGACCTTGAGTTATTGGGCATTCAGTGGAGCAAGGAAAAAACTTAGTTATCCCTGTTCCCAGGTGAGCAGCCAGGCCTTCCAGGTAAGCAACTGCAATCATTCTTACTTGGTTTCCCAAAGATATTTTAACAACGTGGAGCTGTGCCATGGGAGAGGCTGATAAGCAGCCAACTTTAGAAAATGCGATGTTCTGCAGATGAGAATCTGTCCTGACTGGTGTGGCTTCAAATATCATTCAGACAGCTGAGGAAATCAAATATACCTTTTCCTTAGGAACAGAAACTTTGCTATTACCAAGTCATTGGGTAAAAGCTAGCAAGACCCAGTCAGTTTTGCTGGGATTTTGGCACCATATTATAACATTTGCTTTCTTTTGCTTATCCTAATGATCATTATGATTTAACTTAGCGTTTTCCTATACAGTACAACCTAGTTCCTATTTATTATATTCCTGAGAATACAGTCCTTTGATTGATCATATAGCACCACACACACCACCACAGTGCCTGTATGCTGCCCAAAGAGGCTATAGGTGACCTGTAGAATATTTGCTAGATATAAGTTTAGCTTACTTATTTCTTTGTCAAAGGAAATGATTTTTTTTTATTATTTTATTTTATTTTTTTAAGTTTCTAAAATAAAATAACAGTAGAATACAAACAACAATCTGTCAGGGGGGTTGATTTGGAGAGAAAGTCTTGATGCTGTGGCAAGCACTGTTCTGTAATCACCAAAATGTCTTTGCATTGCATTTGTCTTGGGCAGCCTTCATCTCCAAGGATTCCTTTACTCTGGTAAAATGTGCAGAATGGAAAGTAAAAGATGACAGAATTACTCTGCTTCCTGCACGTGTTCAGAGGTCCTGGCAGCATGTGATTTAGACTCGAGCATTTTGGATGGAGAGAAATACAGGAATCCCACACGCCTGATGTCAGCACCAGCAATAGATGCCCAAAGCCAGGAAATGGGGTGGAGGTCAGTGAGAACACCTGAAGAGCAGCACAAAGGACAAATGACTGGAACAGGCTGCCAGAGAGGCTGTGGAGTCTTCTCTGGAGATACTCAAAACCCACCTGGACACTTACCTCTGCCACCTGCTGTACAGAACCTGCTATAGCAGGACGGTGGACTAGATGATCTCCAGAGGTCCCTCACAATCTGTGTCTCTTTGTGCAGAGGGCAGATATGGCAGGACTCATTCAACATACCAGGAAGATGGAGAGCATGCCTGGCAATACCTGTGCTGTAGGAACAGCCCTACTGGGCTGCCTGAACCGTCCCCAAATCCAGCAGCCTACCTTGCTTTACCTGTGCCTTACATGCTTATGCTTCAAAGGAGTACGAGCTACCTTAGGGGCACTCCAGGCTGTGGGGCTTCATCTTAAGATGGCCCATGCTTCGGTCCCATCAGAGACCAACTAGGAGATCTTTCAATTTTAGTGAATGAGAGATGCTGTAAAATTACAGGTCTTCCTCAGTGGTGTGTGTTCATCAATAAAGAGAGCTCTGCCATAAAAAATTCCATGAAAGATCAAAAAGTCAAACCAGTGCAGAAAATTAAGGCTTGCTACATCTACAGTTATTAAAAAGGCCGAGCAAGGAATGTGATGACCAACATTCTCTTTGGTTTTGGCATGTTTATTTGGGCAACAGAACTGGAAAACACATCATCTGCGGCCTTCCTCTGTGCAGTTGGTGTTGACTGGTGGTGACAGTATCTTCAACCAATTGCTGAGTGGCAGTGTTGTTTGTTCTTGCTTCTGCCAACATATCTGAATCCTGCGTGCACTCTTCAATGCTGCACAGCTGCCAACAGTGCTGATATCAGTTCCTATTGTAATTCTCATTAATTTCTCAGCTTTTTCTGGTGGAGCTGGGTTTTCACTTCTCCTTCCACAGCCAGCTTCACCTAGCACTGCTTCCCTGCAACAGAAAAAAGGGATTTTAGAAAAGAGTCCAAATTTGTATGACTTAAGAAACAAATGCCACAGAAATCTGCCCACAGCTCACTGTGCTCTGGGATGCTCTCACTACAAGTATTTCCATGCAAGAGCAGCCAACTACAAAGACTGCTGGAGAAAAAACTCACATTCAGCAGCCGTTTTTCCAGATTAACCAAAGGTGCCAGAATGAGCAGAAACAACAGGATGGCAAAGCACCATGTCTGCAGAGTGATCTTCTCCCTTTTTGTAATCCATAACCCTCTGAAGTTCTCTCAGCACCAGCACCTGGAGAAAATGAGACAGTCCAATGCATTCATGAGTTAGTTTTGCACTACTGATGGAATCACAGTGTCTTGGATGAGTGCAAGTAATTATATTATTCACTCAATTCCTCAAATGTCCCTCATTTTCCTGTCTTAGCAGCAGAGGGTGAGGATGACCTCTTACAGTCCTACTGAGCAAGGGAGACACTGAACAGTTGCTACCTCCAGCTGTGACTCAGGGATTGAATGGGAGTCCATTGCCCATGCCTTACTTCCAAGGACCCAAAGCAGGATCCTGCTGGGAAGTTGACAGCCATCATCTATGGCCAGCTCTGCCACTGCAGGCAGAACAGTTCCCATTGTGTCTTTGATGCACCTCATCAGCTTTGAATGGCAGTGAATGTGGAGCTTGACAGTAGCTTCCTCTCAAGAAAGAAATGTTTGTTCCTTCTGCTAAACAGACATTGACAACATGTCAGCTGGGATGCTTATGTGTCTCAAAAGCAGGATCTGCCTAAGAAGGTGGAGAAGCCATCTTCAGTGCAACAGCTGTAAGTAAAAACAGAGGAGGAATGTTTGCATTATATGTGGTGATACGCTGCTTCATAAATAACAGCTGCAGAGGGATCAAATTGACCTTCTGGATGCAGCCTGGCAGCTCTCAAATGAAGTCCAGACACACTACGTACCCATGCAATTCCTCCAAGGCTCAAAATCAGAACCCCACTGCAAAGCTGCAGTGCCAGCACCTGTGGCCACATCTGCCAAAGGCAGAAGATCACAGTTTCTCTCATACTCTGCAGTTAAGTTCTTCAGCTTTGAATGGCAGCAAACAATCTTAATGACAGACACTATTCTCCCTCTTCCACTACAAGTATGGGACAAATGGGTGCCAAGTGCCAAAAGAAGCACTGTATTGCCATAAAGTGAACCATACATCGGTTTGCTGGAGTAAAGGACCCCCAGGAAGCTCTACACTCTGCCCCAAGTACTTCTGTCTTTGTGGTCAGCACTGGATGAGGCACACGGCTGGGGCTTCTGGCAGACACAGCTTTGCAGGGCAAAGAATCTCAAGGCACAACTCTGTGCTCTCCTGATTCCTATTCTGCTCTTCTCCACATCCGAGCAACAGCAAAGAATGTAGTAAGGTAAGTTCCACAGGAAAAAAATAAGGCTGAAAGTAAGTGCTGACACTGCGAAATGAACAAAGACAGACCACCCACCCCTGGGGTAGCCTTGAGGCTGACGAAAACAGTGTAGCCCAGATGTGTTGCGTGCAGGCAGGTCTGTAAACAAGCAGAAGAAAGTTTTCCTTTCCACACTGTGGCAGACTTCTCTTTAAGGGGACTGCAGAGCCTGGCAGGGGATCACATCGTACTGTGAGAACCACACGTAGGTCCAGAGTCTGTCAGGTGAACTGAGGCCTACGTGAGCATGACCAGGGAACCACATGCATCTCCAAGGAAAAACATACCCCAATCCTTGTGATGCTTCATAATGGCTTCCATGGGATAAGCTGGATATGCATAGCCAATACAACAATTTGCAATGGAGAACAAAGCAGAAAAGCTTTCAAGATTTATTGCAATATATCTCATCATAAGGGATCTTTAGGGACAGCAGAGGGATAGCGGGGTCTGTGTGCAGGATCCATACACAGGTCCAGATTCTTTCAAGCTGTGGAGAAACCCGCTTGAGCTGTAGGCAGGGACTTTGCATCTCCCCACATACTGCCTTGAGGAAATAACCACCAGAACTAAGGGAATCCCATTGGATAGACAGACTGTGTTTACTTACTGGGCAGCCTGTCACATCCCCTAAGCATCAAAAACTACATGAGGAGCACCTGAGGACAAAGGAGTGCATTTTCATTGCTGATGGACCCCAATCATGCACCAATGGGAGTGCTTGGTGAGCTTGTTCTCTTCTGCTGCCCCCATGTCCCTGCAGGGCAGGGTCATTCCTTCACTCTACGCCAGGTCACAGGATGACAGAATGGCAGAATGACTTAGGTTGGAGTGGACCATTATAGATCATCTAGGTCCAACCCCTTGCTATGGGAAGTGTTGCCAACCACTAGATCAAGCTGCCCAGAATTCCATCCAACCTGGCCTTTTAAAGAAAGAAAAAATGAATGAAAGAAAGAAAAGATATAGATCACACAGCTGTATGGAGGTGATGGCTGGGCGACACCCATGGCCCTTGGCCCAAAGTGCCTGACTCTGTTAACAAAGGGCAGCATTACAACATGAACCAGCCTGATTTTGTGCCTGACCATGCTGTGCCACCAGCAATCTCCCTGCTAGGAAGGGACAGCCAGACCTTGTGACCACAGCACTGGGACAATAAAGGCCTAGATTCCTCAGGTAATCAGGTAGGGCTAGCCTGCCATCCTGCTAGTTCTTAAACAAAGCCCAGTACTCTGCAGGCTGTTGCTCACTGTGACAACTTGTTTCCAAATGATACTTTTCAGAAAAATAAAATTTCCAAATAGTCTATGTGGATGGATCCATGAGGTTTCCCTTGGTGTTATATGGACCCTTTGGTTTAATTAGACTCGTGCATTTGCCAACAATCTATTTTCTTCTGATGCACCACTCTCTGCTTGCAGAATCTCTGGGGTGGATTTGACTTGCTGTTATGAAGGAAGCTGTGCACTGACTTCCTCTGGAGAAATTAAAGAACTGCCAAACTGACATACATCCTTGTCACCGTCTTCACTAGGATTATTAATAATGCCACTAATTTGATTAATCTTATGTTTTCAAAGATTCTTTTAAAAACAAACACTTGATGCTTGACTGAGATCAACAAAGATCTCAAAGTGAGTACAGGGTGGGATCAGGAAAGAAAGGAGTGTGTACCAGACGTGCAGTGTGAAATGTCTTGCCTAAGCATCTCTCCCTATGTCCCTGTTCCCCCATTCTATCTCGTTCTTGAAACTGTATATCCTCAGAAGACATTAACAACAAAGAAAACTGGTATTTCTTTTTGTAAACACCTTCTGGTCCTGTGTGGTGAAATTGAGTTTCTAGGGATCCAGGCACAACTGGAAGAATTTACATAGTTGGTATGCCAGAACTGTGGATTTTTTTTCTGATAGGAAAAATCCTGGTCTTGTGTTCAAAGTCTTTAAAATGGTCACTATTTAAGGAAGCACAACTTCTGTAAGAAACCACTAGCCCGAACTCCAACAAATGTCAGAAATGACTACAAATTCCACATATCTCTATAAAGTGAAGTACACTAACAGGTGTCGCCTCTCTGAGAGCATCTGATATTTCTGTTGTGGAATGTGGTTCTTAATTAGTAAGAAAAAGAGAAGATGAAATAGCACATGTGCTCACAGAGGTTGCCACTTTACATTCATTTTACTCCTGTCTGGGAGCCTGTCCAGCCTCCCAAAACACTCAAGATGAGTCTGAACAAGTTATTCAAAAACAAGTCAGGTGTGGCAACGTACACAGTTGTAGTACAAAGCTCTCTCTTTTACAAACTACAGACCTTGGTGCTTGAGGGATTACTGCAAAGAGTTGCACAGCTGCTAGGTGAGTCCTTAGAGCTGTTGTGCAAGAGAAGAGCAGAACTTGGCTTCACAGCAGAGGCTGGAGTCTTTCCATCATCACAGATAGTGGAGCAGTACTGTTTTGCTCTTCACATGTAGCATGGATGTCCAAATTTATTTTTATATTCTCACAGGTTTATGTTTCAAAATGGCAAAATGTGGAGAAGATGGGTGGTTCTGTGCAACTCAGCAATCCCCCAACATTCGTTTCAAAGACTGTGCTCAGGGTAATAATAATAGTAATAGTAATAATAGCAATAACAAATGAAGTGAATAAAAAAAGGTCCTGAAACATACCTTTCTTTAGAAATTCGGAACAAGTCCTGAATACAACAAAAAAACACAGGTTTTTCAAACTAGACAGTTTCCTACTTGAAAATAAACTTTTCACGCAGTAGCAATTATGATCAGTACTCAAAATTCTTTCTTTTTTCCCTCCTCTTCCAGTGGAGAAATGGCTCTCTATACGTTAGGCAAGAGTGACATCTGCTGTTAGTTACAAAGAGCAGAGCTGGTGCACACTGACCTGGTTTGTAAGGACGCGGATGCATATGGGTTCTGATCATTTCTGCTCTCAGGTCTTCAATTGACGCTATCAACTGCAATGAGTGAGAGTCAGCATTATTATAATAAGTAGCAGTAAATCACCCACACTTCAGGTTGGTTTGCAAAAATGAAATCTGGAGTCGTTAATACCAAAATCATTAAGGTTGGAAAAGATCGTCAAGATCCAACCATCAGCTCACAAGTCCCCACCATGCCCACTATCCATGTCCCTCAGTGCCACATTCACACAGTTCTTGAATACTTCCAGGAATAGTGACTCCATCACCTCCCTGGGCAGCTTGTGGCAGCACCTCATCACTTTTTCTGTCAGGACAGAAGACAGGACATTTATGAATAAAGCAACAATACTCACATTTAAAAATCAACAAATCAAGAAGACAGAAGCTCTCTGGAATTGGGGGTGTGCAATCAGCCAGCCCAATCCTCCCTCGTTTTGAGGAGGGGTCTAAAGGTTTCTACAAGCTGTGGGATTCTGGGCTGAGAAAGGTTAGATCAAATACACCGTCTGTCCAGTGAGGCACTTTGTTACTGAAAACATCTGTCCTTGTTTTGCCTAAACTGGACCACTGTAGCTAAAGAAAAGCAGCAGGGTTCATCCCTAACTGCTAAGAATACAACATGTAAATAGCTCAACCTGTAAAACCATACAGGGAAAGGGAATGAGGAAATAACTTGCAATGAGCTGCAGAACGATCTGTCAGCAACACCCACCCTTGACAAAGATAAGAGGAACCCTCAGCAGGATGTAGCACAATAATGAAGGAGAGAGGTTTCCTCAGTGCCATACCAGAGACAGCTTGAAAAAACATCAAAGTCATGAACGCTGATATGAAAGCAGAGAACTAAAGTGAGAAGCATGAACTCCTAGCTGAGACACAGTCAGCCAGCCCTTAAGTGTGATATATGAGATAACCCATCCTTGAAATATATATTCTGTAGCAGTTGCCTAACTTATCATAGCGCTGCAGTCTCACTGAACTTAAATAAAGAAAAAGTGCTACAAATAAAACACACCAAAGACCAATGTACCAATTACTCATCCTGTTGTTCAAGCTTCCACAGGCTCTTCTGGCATTCTATCTGTCTATCTATCTATCTATCTATTTATTTATTTATTGCTTCACCATATTCAACTACAATATGTGGAAGTTATTTGGAAACAGGTGTACATCTTTGGACTGTATGTGTCAGACTGCTATGCACAGGAAGATACCCCTCCTGTGCATCATCTCAAGTGCCTCTGTCTGTATTTATAGGTCCTGCAGGCACACTGCTCCTTTCTTGGGGACAAACATGTTGTACCAAGAAAATAACAGGGGCATTAGCATTACATTTTGGCAGTCTGGGCTTTCCAATGGGTGCAGGAAGGAAGTATTTGGCACAGGAAAGGGGAGCGAATGGCTAAAAGAAGGAATGGTGTAGATGCTATAGCAGAAAAACCTCCTTGCTGCAGAGCTCCTTGCTGCAGGGACAGCTGCAATTTGGGGACACCATGTCAAATTGGAGTAGAAAGAAAGTTATTCCCAAGGGAGAAACTGAGGATTATCAAGAAGATGGATGTAGTGATCATGTCTCCTTTTCTCTATCCCTATGGGAGGATGGCCACAGTAATCAACTGATGCATCAGTCATATAGAGAAGAAAAATCAATGAGATCAGTGGGTGAAGAGACAGAGAGCCTCAAAGCAGGTAGGATTACAACCATTGCAGGAGCATACTAGGGTTCAGGGGGGTCAGGTGTGCAGAAGATGCCATCTCTAATGTCACTCAGCAGTGTCACATGGGGTAGATGAGCAGAGCTGGCTTGTGCATACACACTGCGGATGCATGGTATTTCTATGAGTCTGATGCTATTGGCTCTGACCACACTGTCCAAGGTGCAGAAATGTGGGGTGGAGTCTGGAGGACCTATGTTCTACCTAACAAGGCTGATGGGAGGAAAGAGAAAATACGTTGTAGAAGCTCAGGCATACAGTGAGATGCCCTAAAGCTGCCAACCTAATAGAATCAGAATTGCTCAGGTTGGAAAAGAGCTTCAAGATCATTGAGTCCAACCACAACCTAACCACACTACCCTAACTAACAACCCTCTGCTACATCATGTCCCTGAGCACCACATTCAAACGTGGTTTTTAAATACATTCAGGGATGGTGACTCAACCACCTCCCAATAAGAAAGAAATATGAAGGGTGATTGGGTTACAGTGTTTATTTATTTGAACAAAAAACACTGCTAAACCGGCTTCTTCTTATAGCAGAGACTGGCATGAAGAGGGTGGAAGTCTGGAAGCAGAAGCCAGAGAAAGTCGTATAAAAATCTAAGCATGTGACTTCAGCTGTGGGCACAGTTCACCTTCAGAACAAACTATCAAGGGAGTGAGAGGATTCTGCCTTTCTCTTCAAACCAAGATTGTCCCTTATTAAAATCAACAACAAAAAAATCAAGAGAATACACACTGCCAAACAATAGTTACTGGGAATTCTGAGAAAAACCTTTTAGTGATGAGTATACAAGAATCATGTTTAAGTTTTCTAGAATTTCTTCTAGCCTTTGAAACTTTTGAATTTGTCCTATAAAGCTGTATGATGGCATCATCTCACATTGCTCTGCCACTGTACCAGTGTTCATGCAAAAGACTTTCCAGTGTTGATTTAAAAATTTCAGTAGTTGAAGAATCTACTACTTTACTAAGGGGATTTGTTTCAGTAGGTTTCCACTCCCACCAAGAAATACTTGTGCTTTGATGCCAGCCTGGACTGTCACAACTCCCACTGTACTGATGCCAGGAGTCTCTTCCCATGAATGCAAGCATGGCTACCACCATTCCTGTTTAAATTTGCTCTCAAATAAACTGACAAATTTATTCCACACAAATTTGAACTAAAATGCCCTTTGGAAAATAGCTTCCATGAGGTATAGTAATGAAAGTACTACTCTGTAGTAGCTAGTCACATGGTAAAAAGTGGTTTCAGCTCTTTTCGATAACAAGAAAACAACAGTGGTTCATAGCAATTGTTTCTCAGGGACATGCTGACAACCACGCTGCCATTGCTGAAACGCATCACCCACTGCCTCATGTATTCACACCTACTATTTTGTCTCCGTAACCATTCAGCAAGCATGAATGAATGTCAATGGGTGCCATTTTTTCGGTGTGAAGGAGTTCAGTGACACCCCTTTTCTTCATACGCACTTTCATGTCAGACATCACTCTGTCAGACTGCCCCTCTGCTGCTGTCTGTCACACAGCAACAACATGGAAGGGAATATTGGTGGGAAGGTTCAACCTCTACTGCCCTACCACCAACATCCGCCTCTGGTGCTATGGGCCAACATAATAAAATAGGAGGCATGACTTTCAGCGCAGCCCTTGTACAAAGGTAAGGAAACAGAGCAGTTATGTATTAATTTAAATTGCACTGTTTGCAAATTAATTTGAGGCTCAAATTCACCATTACATCATGCAGTACATAACTGCCTGTGTTTCCAAGTTCACATTACTTATCATGATGAAAAAGTAAATAATAGCTTCAAATGAGCAATGATGCCAGATCTGAAATTAAATTCAGCGTTGGAAAACATTCAAGTTCCTTTCAGCCTCAACCAAACATTTCCCTCTAAAGATAATAACTTTCCCACCTGTCTGCAAATATTTGATTCAAAATAAATCTGGTGCTTACGCTTTTGAAAAAGTTTATTTGTTTTCTTCATGGAGGAAAAAAAAAAGAAAAAAGAAAACGAGAAAAAAAAAAGAAGAGAAACTTGAAACTAGAGCAATGGTTGCTGCTTTTAAACAAGATGACTGTCCACAATGGAGTACAGTTATCCCAAGAAACAAAACTATTGGAAAGAATGGGAGGAGAGATCAATCAATACATGTAAACACTGTTTCTGCAGGAAATCTCAGCAGTGTCATAGTTTCGGGTGGCACCATGCCAGAAAGCAAAGTCATCCCATGAAATGGTTAACTGCCTCCTCCCACATAATCACCTCAGCACTTCTGGGCAAGCCCATGCTCCTTGCAGGTCAATGTGCAAGGGAAGTAAAACACTTGTCCCACAGCACCCAAAAAGGTGCCTTTGTCCTTCCTCCCTTTCAGAAGAGAGAGACAGAAGAGAGAGAGATGTGAGAGAGGGATAGAGAAGTGAGAGGTAGATGTGGCACTGAGGGACGAGGTTGGTGGACATAGTGGTGATGGGCTGATGATTGCACTGGATGATCTTAGAGGTATTTTCAAACCCTAATGATTCTATGATTCTTTGACTTCCTTCCAAGTTCCTCCCCACAGGAGAGGCAGTGGTCACATTGCTCACAGTGTGGGCAACAAAGGCACCTTTCTGGAAAGGCCAGGGCCTGGTCCTGCCCTCAGCATCTACCCAGCCCTCTGCAGAGCAGCTCCCCCCAGCTCACAGCCTGCTCCTTCTCCACAACACCCCACATCTCCCACTTCCCATGTGCTGGAACCAGATGAGCTGGTGCTCCTTCACTTAGACCCTGCTGTAGTGCTGCTTCTCTCTGCACAGGTTACTTACCTCTGGCAGGCTGGAAGAAGCCAAAAAATACTGCCTCAGCCAAACCAGACAGGTTACAGGCAGTCCTGACTCATGCTGTGATGGACTCTGGGCCAGTCCCATACATCATACGCAAGAGGCAGAGGCCAGGTAGGGCAGCTGGCACAGGGATGTGGCAGCCAGTCTGCACGCAGGTCTGAGGGGCTTGGGGCTGCCCGCGCTGCCTTCACCTGGCATAGAGCTGCAAACAGAAACAGAGCATTCCCCTGACCTGCCTTTAGCTGGGGATTTTCTGCAGCCTCCCAGATCACCCCACTGCACCAGGAGCAGGATATTTAAGGGTCCAGCTATGAGGAGGAGAGAAGATTGTGCTGAGGACTTACAGGTAACGTGTCTATTTTGCTTTAACATTGTGAACGCAGAGAGAGGGCAAAATGGGGAGAAATGAGCAAAGAGTTAAAGGAGATGAAGGCATGGAACAAACTAACAACAAATTTATCTTTTCTGGAATGCATCCACTACTCAGGTTAAATCCACATACTCTTTCTGCATGGAGATATCTCATAGAATTTTACAGACTGAGGAAAGTTGAACTCATATCTCCACCCTTTAAAATATCATTTGAGGTTCTTAGAACTGAGCCAGTGGAAGAGTCAGACACTGTGAGCCAAATCGTGTTTAATTTATTCAGCAACACATCTGTGTGAAATATAGTCCAATTACGGGTATTAGGTTACTTTTCCAAGGCTGCAGACATTTGGCTTTTATTTCCAGCAGGCTCTAATTAAATTATCACAATGCAGGAGCAAATACGTTTCCTTTATACGTGACTGCAATTAAAGTCATGCAATCACAACATTTTTTGAAGTGACTCCGATCAATTGGTTACAGTAAAGAACAGCGTGTAATGGAGCAGTGGCTCCACTGCTAAGACTAGGAGAGGGTTTCTATTTCAATAATCTAGCTCCCTTTTATTTTGAGTTCTGCTCCTGGATAATTTATTTAAAGTTCATTATGTGTCTACAGCATATATCACTTGCCCTCAGCTCAGGCTGCAGAAGTCCCATTACGGCCAATTACTTAGTGTGATAAAATCTGCCACAGCACAAACTGTTGCTTAATTAGATTTAAGTTTTGTCTACATTCTATTTGTAATTCTGACTGTGAAATAATAAGGCCAACAGCAAAGACTTGCTGCCTGCTTTCTCTGGTCACTGGCAGCCTGTTACACTGGGCGTAATCTTATGGCAGGTCAGAAGGGGGACCCCTAGACTCAGTGCTCTTCTTGCAGTGCTTGTCCCCATACCAGATGTCCCTAACTGGCCTGGGACCCAAACCCTGCCCTGTCAGATACCTCACCCATAATGTAAGGGACCACTGGGAAAATGTGGTGGTCCTCATGGATGCAGCATCTGAGTACTGCTACTGCCACCACACTTTTTGATGGTTGTAAGCATTTGCCCTACAGCCCTTATGGGTTTGTTCTTATGGATTTGCTGCACCAACGCAATGGTAGGCAGGAAAAAATGCTGTTGACAAAATGGTAATCCTAAGAAAACCAATGAAGAAAGTGCAGGAGGCAGCACCCAGCCATGCCCCTCAGCTCAGTTAACAGGTGCACACTACAAACACTACGCTGCGAGCAGGGCTGTTCTCCCAATATGGGCAGCGTGCTGCTGTGGAACAGGGCCTTTGCTGTTTGGCTGGTTAAACATTAGCCATATGGGTGGCTTTATGTTGGTTTGGGTACGACAGCGTCACTGCATTTCTTCTGACCAGCCATCTTTCCACATCATCTTCTCTTTGACCTCATTCATATGCATCTCTCTATATGGCAGAGGTTCACAAACAGCACTGGCTTTTCTCAGGTAGTCCTGTCCTTCTCTTACAGGGTGGAATGCTAACACTACTGTGTATATTGCTGTACACCTGAATTCATGCCACTGATTTATCCACACAGTAACTGTGTTAAATACATTTCATCTGTATGTTCCAAGCAAATTTGAATTAAAATCCTGGAACTTGTCTCTGTGAGATCCCGAAAGAGACTGAGGGTAGGAGACACATCAAGAAAATTCAAGGTGGAACAAGAAATGGATGATTCTGTAGGATTCTCTTTAACAGATACAGACCACAATAATTTGAGGATGGACAGCACCCTGTAAGAGGTTGCCTACCTCAGGAAATAATTACACTTGAAATTTACTCAATATTTTTCCCATCAAAACAGCTCTAAAACAAAACCTGAATCCACACAAGAGCTCTTACTGCACATGACCTTGGCAGTCATTTCCTATGAGCTTCACTGGCCCCATATTTCCTACTGGAGATTCTATATATTTCAGATTCTATGTACTTTGCTCAGGGACATGATTTAGCAGAGGGTTGTTAGAGTTAGGGTAGTACGGTTGAGGTTAGGTTAGGTTGAGGTTGGACTTGTGTAGTAGGCGACTTGATGATCTTGAAGTTCTTTTCCAACCTGAGCAATTCTATGATTCTATGACTATCTTTAAGTCCACTGAATCTTGATCAAGTCTCAGAAAATATCTTGAGAACGGCTGCTTTGCAAAGTTGGCCACATTTTTTCAAATGTTTCAGAGAACTTTGAAGGCTACTGCCTATAAGAAAATCACCTTTTAATTTTTTTTAGGGAATAGACATTTACATAGCAGCTAATGGAAAATCTAGAAATAGCCTGTTTCTTTGCAACATTAATCTTGTTAATGAACTAAAAAAATTAAATATTTGTGTATCTGTTTTTGTTCAAGAAGCAGGAATAAAAATGCTACCAAACTCCAGTGTTAAAAAGAATATGCAAACATTTCAACATCTGCTTTCTTTTCCAGTTAATTAGCAATGATGTGAATAGCTTTTATGTAGCAGCAACATTTTGAACATTCCTCTCTGTGCCATTGTCAGTGGCACAACACAACCTGTTCGTCTTTCTGCTGCACTTGAGCCCTGATGAGAGCAGAAGGTGACCTCTATGTGCTGAGGGACGCACATCACCCATTGTGGTGCTTGGAGTCCCTTACATTCTGCCTGTGGAGACCCTTCCCTTAAAATACATATGTGGGAATACGATTTTTACTATATCTGTATAAATATGAACAAAAGGCCTATAGATCAGGATTAATTCTCACCAAAGCAGCAAGGCCTTTTCTTATTTAATAAAGGCACTATAACAGAGGCAGTTGTGGGAACTTGAAATAAGACCTGGTTATTCATTGTTTTTAACAGGCTAGTACAGGGTCTTTTCTGTCAGAGAACACTAAGTATTTCTCTCTTCCTAAAGCATTAAGGAAGAAACATGAACACAACAAGTGGTGATTTAGCCAACCCCACGACCTGGCAAGATGCTGGAGGTGATTTTCCCAACTGCACCGATGTAGAAGTCAGTCTGAAGACTTTGTACCTCCCTGTTATGTACAGCCTCATCTTTCTGGTGGGCTTCCCAGGAAATGTTATTGCAATCAGTGTTTACAGCTTCAAGATGAGGCCTTGGAAGAGAAGCACCATCATCATGCTGAACCTGGCACTCACAGACCTACTCTACCTCACCAGTCTTCCCTTCCTGATACACTACTATGCCAATGGGGAGCACTGGATCTTTGGGGGATTCTTGTGCAAGTTCATTCGTTTTGGCTTCCACTTCAATTTGTACAGCAGCATCCTCTTCCTCACTTGCTTCAGTGCCTTCCGCTACATGGTGATTGTCCACCCTATGAAATTTTTCCAAGTCCAAAGAAAGCAGTGGACAGCAGTGGCCTGTGCAGCCATTTGGGTGATCTCCCTGGTGGCTGTCAGTCCCATCAATTTCTTGATCTCCTCAAGAGAGGAGCAAAACAGATCCTTATGCCTTGACTTCACCAGTTCTGAAAACCTGGGTGCAATCAGGTGGTATAACTGGCTGCTCACCAGCCTGGCCTTCTTCTTGCCCCTGGTGACAGTGACTCTGTTCTATGCACTTATTATTTCTGCCTTGGCCACAGGGCCCCAGACACAGGCTAGCCACAAACAGAAGGCTCGCAGACTTGCCATCATCCTCTTGGTGGTCTTCTATGTGTCCTTCCTCCCCTTCCACCTTTTTCGGGTTGCTCGGGTTGAACTGCAGTTGTGTCCCGTCAGCTGTCATGTTGAGAAGCAGATTCACACCATCTATATCATCTCTCGACCTCTGGCTGCACTCAACACCTGTGGTAACCTTCTGCTGTACATTGTGATGGGAGATAACTTCCAGCAGGCCATCCTCTCACTCTCATGGTGCAAGAGGAGCAAATGCATCCAGCCACCTGGGAGCAGTACTTATATGAACAAGTCAGAAATCACCTTAAGGGTATAGAAGAATCCATTGAAGATAATTCCAGCAAACCTGGGATTGCTTTCTTGCCACATAGGCAGGTGTATGGATACGGCAGTGAGAACTGCTGCTGGATTCTCACACTCTGTAATAAAGTGCTTGTCCAAAAAGTCATCTCAGGAGCAGGCTTATACATACATACCTCTGTTAGCAACTAAAAAATAAAATAAAAGAAAATGAAATAAAATGAAATGAAATGAAATAAAATAAAATAAAATAAAATAAAATAAAATAAAATAAAATAAAGGAATGAAGAGAAAAAAATGTAAACCTCCTTAAAGGCAGAATTTTAACTTAATCAGACTGTTTCCAAAGATATTTGGGAAATGCTGAATTCTCTTCCTTCAGTCTTGGAGACTGGCTACAGAAACGCAGGGAGCTGGGTTTGGACAAGAGAATAACTTCCATCAAGTTCAGTGCTGCCACTGGTGTAGTGTTTTGTTAATTACAGCTGGACTGAGACACAGAGGATTGTCATGGTTGCTGAAACCTCTGAATTACATAAATTACCATACTTAGCACCTAGATAAATCAGGTGTTTTCAAATTCTCCTCTATTCAGCTCCTGTGAGGCCCCATCTGGAGTACTGTGTCCAGGCCTGGGGCCCCCAGCACAAGAAAGATGTGGAGCTCTTGTAACAGGTCCAGAGGAGGGCCACTAGGATGATCAGAGGGCTGGAGCACCTCTCCTATGAGGAAAGATTGAGGGAACTGGGATTGTTTAGCTTGAAGAAGAGAAGGCTCTGGGGAGACCTCACTGTGGCCTTCCAGTACTTGAAGAGAGCATATGAACAGGAAGGGGAATGGCTGTTTACATGGGTTGACAGTGACAGGACAAGGGGGAACGGTTTTAAACTGAGGCAGGATGGTGACACACTGGAACAGGTTGCCCAAGGAGGCTGTGGATGCCCCATCTCTGGAGACATTCAAGGCCAGGCTGGATGTGGCTCTGGGCAGCCTCATCTAGTGGTTGGTTACCCTGCACATAGCAGGGGATTTGAAACTAGATGATCATTGTGGTCCTTTTCAACCCAGGCCATTCTATGATTCTGTGATTCTATGATTCTATGATTTCATGAAATTTAATTGGCCTAATGAACTTCACCATTCACACTGAATAACCGGATCATAAAATCTCAATGCTGGCCCAGGGAAAGATGAGAGAGAAGTACCAAAGGAAAAGAATGTGATGAGTAAAGGGAAATACATGCAAGAAGGTACATGTATTGAAAAAAGGGAGGAACAAGGAATTAAAAAAACAGTTTTGATAATATCCATCTCAGAAAAGTACTGGAACAAATAATCAGTTGCCAGATCTTTATGGGATGAGTGCAGGTGAGTACCAGGCACTCTATCAGAGTTTATTAGGTATGTACAATCCCATATTAATCTGATTTTCTACTGCAACACATTATTAAGCCTGTATGTGGAGGAAAAGAAACATGTTTCTTAATGCTTGATTCCTGAAAAATTTTTTACTCTGAGATGATTCTTTAAAGTATAAAGTAAAGAAAATGTCTAGATGAAACCAGTAGCTACTGTAAGTAGCTGGTTACAGTGCTGGACGTGCGGAATCAAACTCTGTAACCCAAGAAAGATTAAAAAGCAGGTATGATTATTCCAGCAATGCGTATACGCTGGGTGCAAAGGGGATAGATCCAGATAAATTGCACACCGTGAGGAAAAAGCATGCTACAGATATAGGACAAATTAATACATAATCAGTTATTTACAGGAATTTGAATGGCAATGGAATTTGAAGGGCAGCCCACAAACTGGTTTCTGCTTGCCCTGTGAACACTTATTCACCTCACTGCCAGATGTCCTCGGGCTGTTCTCAAACCTTTATTTTTATGGTCTTCACCCCTCTCATTATCACAGACCCAGTGTCTGCCATTCCTCATTTTTCTAACAAACTCTACATTCTTGCTTCTATAAGCTATCTCTAACTACCCCCACCCCAACCCCCTCCCCATCCTTAGTCTTTGTGAAGCCCCTTTCTCACTTTTTCTCTTTTGCTATAAGGCCCTTTTCACCCTTAAACGGAGGGTTCAGAACAGCCGGATTTGTGATTTTCTGTCTAAGTAGAGGGGACTATTGTCTTGCTCCCATTTATAGGAGGGAGAGGAGGTTCTTCTAATATCTGTACACTTGGCGTGAGATTAAGGAACAATGGTTCAAATGTTGGTCTGACCAGTTTATTACAGATCTTAATCAGGGAGACGGGGAAGGGGAGGACAGACACTATTGTGAATTAGGGTAATGGGGAAGGGAAGGAGGGCAATAGAAAAGATAGGAAAGAAGAAGCAAGGAGTCTCTATAGGAAGCAAGAGGAAGATAGTCACCACCATGGATCCAGCGTGGTTCATAGTTCAGTCTTTGATCTTCAGTAGTGGGGGTGTTCGGGCATTGTTCTGTTGACGACAATGGTGACCATGGCAATGATGGCAACTTTTGAATGGTAGTACCAGCTTATTTATAAGTCCAAATTGATTGAGTCAGCTGTCTTTGGAGTGACAGCTCAAGTCCAAAATGGTTGAGTCACTCACTTTGGAGTGGCAACTTCTGGCTCTGGGATCTCAGCAGAAACTCCTTCGTTCCCATCTTCCAGGCCTTGCCAGCAGATAAGAGGGATCAGGGATGCCCACCTGCATCCTGTTTTTCACAGAACACAATGGTATCATTTCCCAGTTTTCCTATACCAAGTTGGAGCTATTTATTCCCAGGCCAGATCTTCTGCCAGTAAACACTCCTGAGCACTCTATTCCAGAGGCAAGCAGCTCTGGAGGAAGGGGCTTTCAAATGTCCACAAAGCGATGCTGATTGTCACACGGTAGCACCCATCACTTTCCTCCTCAATAAATCAATCAGAGTTTTATCACAAAAAATACCTCAGGAAGCAAGCTTTGAGCCAAAAAACAAAGGATTCTCGCAACTATGCAGTGGGAATTTGACCCATCTGTCCTGGGCTTGGGGATAGTTGGTGTTTTCATTAACAAATTGGATGATGAAATGAAGTCTGGTTAACATATTTGCAGATGACACGAAGCTGAGAGGACAAAATTTCACTGACAAATTGCAACATGTTCTGAAAAAACAGAGTGCTATTAGGCAGTGACAGATCCAAAGTATTGAGTTTAAGTAGAAATAATGAACTATAGAGACACACAAGGAAAAACAAAAGCCAGAGAAGAAGCAATGAGTGGAGCATGGTAGGAGTATTCTTGAGGGAATGACCAAAAGGGAAAAGGAACTGAACAGACAAACAAATGGTCCAAAAGTACCTCGAGGGAGGGCATCAGGAAGGGCTTTCTGTTGTGGAGGTAGTGATGCACTGGAAAGGACAAGAGGAGCCCATGCCACTGCATGTATCCAGGAGCAGTTATCAAGACATTTGACAAGAGGGACACAAAGCCACCTGACCTCTGGAGATCCGTTTTGGCCACTGAGCCCTACAATTAGGTATGCATTGCTGGTAACATCGATGCCAGTGAAAGAAGTAGTGTCCAGGGACATCCCTGGGACTGGAGGCTGTCCCACAGTCCTGCCACAGCACTGTGGCACCTGGGGCATGTGGAGGGTCAGCAGCAGACACCTGCTTCTCAACAACAGCTGGTACCCACTATGGATTAGTACCATTCCAAAGATATTTGGGAAATGCAAGATTCCCTTGTTTTGGGCTTTATGGTTGATTACAGAAGAGATGGTGCTTTACAAGTACTGTGCGTGTGGCGTTACAATCTTTTCATATGCCTTTTGTTGCCACTAGATGGTGATGATTCATGCTCAAGCTGCCTGGTTTCACATATGCATGTTTGATGCACATCCAGAATTTAAACAAATACACAAGATGATTCATGTGAGATAACTTTTTTCTGACATCATGAATTCACTACATCTTAACTTTCCAACGTGGAAAAAAAAAAGCACAAACACACAGTATATATTCTCTTCCTCTTCTGTGAAAATGAAAGCACAAGATGTACCTACTGCTTATACATACAGATCTGAAGCCTCTCAGTGGGTTAAAAATACCTTTTTTCCTCTCCTCAGAGCAAGGACCATCATTACATTTTTAATCCCTGTTTTCAGAAGCTCTTCTTTCTCAAGCCCAAGCTGAGCTTATCACATATGAACAGAAGTATAGCCACACATACAACATAAAACGAAGGGACTAAAGATAAAAAAGTGTGTAATGGAAGTGTTCAAGTTTTTCCATCTATGATAGCAGCAAGAGTGACAGTCTCATAGTTTCGGTGACTTGGTAAGTAGCCTTTCCACCTCTTCCTCTCCTTTTAACTTAACTGTAGTTTGTTTGCCTTCACCTGCTTGCCTACTGCTTCTCTTCACTCAGTTTGGGCTTAATTACCTGTTTTCAAAGTGCTGACCCACAGAATTACAGAATCTCCTGTGTCAGAAGGGACTCACAACGATCCAAACTCCTGACTCCACACAGGATCACCCACATTCAAACCCTATATCTGAGAGCAGTGTCCAAATGATCCATGAACTCCAGCATCTCAGCGCCATGATCACTGCCCTGGGCAGCCTGTTCCATGCTCATCACCCATCACCTTCTGGGGAAGAGTTTTCCTGATATCCAACCTGAATCTCTCCTAGTATTTAGGGAACACTTTCGGGACCCACGGTTCATTGGTGGGACGGCAGTCTCCACCAGAAAGGCAGTCATTTTTTCTGTTAGTGTGGCTGAATCTGACAAAAGCTCAGCCTTAGCACAGGCATTTTTTAAAAAATTTAAGGTCTGCTCAGGTGCCCTCTGGGACCAGGAGATCATTATCTCATGTGACTCATTCCTTCTGCTTACTGTGAAAGGTAGGATTTGATAGCTTCTATTTTTAGCAGCTGTAAGTTTACTGCTGGAGCAAGGACAAGTGTTTCAATTGCAGTAAACAGGAGACACTATCCAAGCCCTGCATACAGTGTGACAACAAAACTACATAACTTACTTTGATATTGCAGGCCGATTCACAAAGTAGTTATGCTCCACTAACCAGGTTTCTGTTAGAAGTTTGTCCGCAAAGACAGTCGTGACAACTCCAGTTCATGCCAACCATCTGCTCTCTGCCTGGGACTGCGTGGAGTCCAAAAAAGAAACTTTGCAAGGTAAACTGGATTCACACCTCTTAGAGAGATGTCAGTTCTGATGATAGTAATGAAGAAATTGTGGAATTGCTGACT